GGGAGACGCAAACATCTCAGTTTCAGCTATGCAACTTTGCTCCAGTCTATTCTGTGCAGTTTCATCCCATTTTCCAAAATCAAACAGAAGAAGATTAAACAGGACACAGGCAAAAAACCCTCCCAAATCCCAGAGAACCATTTCCAAACCCAGTCTGACCTCTTTGAAACCGTGTTCCCTTTCAGCAGTCCCGCTGCCCCTCGACACTGCAAATATTTATGCTTTTCAATTTATTTCAATTGGAACTTTAATGCTTTGCTACCTCTTTAGGTGTAAGGACAACCTTACAAACCAAACCATCGGTGCTGACAGGTTTCTGTCTAAATTCAGTTATCAATTCAGTTGCACACTGAGGGTTCAAAGGAAGGCAATTCATGCCACGGGCTGCTAATTCAAAGATGCCTTTACAATCCCTCTTTATTTCAGTCAAAGACCTAATGGGTGAAACAAACCTGCAACTATTCAAGTAAATAGCCAAGAAGTCATTAGTTTAAACATCACTTACAGATTCTGACAGCGCCACTTGCTGAATAACACCGGACTGATTTTAAGCATTGAGGATAGTAAACTCTAAGGTTAAAGTGCTGAATAAAGAAGTCATGGAATCCAACCTGCTTTTGATCACCTTGTTACCACTTCTGCCTTTCTCAAAGTATTTCTTCTCTTTAAATTAATTAATAACACAAAAATGGCTGAAAGGTTTCAGATCCAAGATCCTGTATGCAGCAGCTTGTAGCATGCTAACTGCTGGCTAAATCCAGCAAGGATCTAAACTGACTAAAACTAAGGTTAACTTAACATCTATTTGTAGCACTTACATACAACTTGTGTTTTGAGTGGAATGGCCTTTAGAATACGTCAAGAATGTGATGATTTCTACTCTACTTGGCTACTAAGCTTGGTTCTAACTTCAGCTTATTTTTATGAGCAGTGGATGCTCAACTTCTCCAAATATAGATGTGTTCAATTTTCATAATCAAAATCAAAGACAAGCAAGGCAATAATTCAAGCACCATCACAAAGCTAATTCAGGAAGAGAATGGGAGGCATCCCACTCCGGGGTATTTTGAGCCTTTGCTACCTTTCTTTAGCTAAGTTAAGGAAAGAAAAAAGTTGGATTTTCAGAAAGAGTTAAACTATAAAAGCCAAGACTTCAGAAGCAGCTCGGATTTTCTGCAGAACTTGGGCAGACACGTCTACAGCAAAACACTAACTGCTTGCAAATAATGTTTGCCAACTGCATCTTAAGACACTCCAGGGACATGTAGTTAGGGAAGCTGAGCAACCAGCTGCTCAGTAACATGAAGATGAAACTGCTCAGGTGTCTAAACACAGCACTGATAAGTAATGAAAGAGAATTCAGTGCACTGGCTTCGAAAATAAGCTCTGTCACGACTGCAGAATGAACTCGGGTGACTTGTTTCCTTTCAGATGAACATCAAAAGGACAGACGTTTTCCCTTTAGAGGTTGTCCTGTTGCCGACTCTTTGTTACCTTTAAATGAGATCCAGTAAGAGTTTTCGTATTCTTCAGGCTAAAAGCTAGATGTCATCTGACCCGCCAAAGACGTAAAGCAATTGCTGCTTGCCCTCAAGAACCAATTTATACACTGATAATCTTGACAGGGCAGAAGACTGGCCATAGGGATCCTGCCCCAGTCCTCAGACAGATAATGAAACCAGTATGAATCATTCACTCCGTGTGTTCGATCCATATCTCATCATCTATTGGCAATAAATGTTCTATGCATGCTGTAATAGGAAGCAATAAAGTTGAACTACTACATGATGAACCCACTCGAACAACCACTGATTTCAGCCATTATATGAATTTCGTCAATAAAGGAGAATTACAGCACAAGATTAGAACCAGGCTGTTTTGCTGAGGAGGAGGAAGATTCTGCCTAACCCTGTAAATCCCCTTACTCCTCTGCACCAACCCAAGAGGCCAGCTTGAAATTCCCTGGTGGATAGTTTATCATAGCGTTAGACTACTGAAGCAGAAGCGCTTATGTCGCATAGCTACAGCCAAGAACTGATCATAGCACTGAGAGGTTTCACTGCCCAAGCAATTCCCACAGAGCTGACCAATCCTCAGATGTAGGAATTCTGCGTGCCATTTTATGTCCCCAGTCTTAATTACACTCAAAGTATAACTGTTTCTTAACATCTGAACTCCACTCCTACTCAAACAGGAAAGCCTTCCCTCACACCACGGCTGCTATCCTACTCTTTCCTCAGATTACAGTGCAGCTTACAGAGGATTTGGATTCCTTTGTCCAGCTGCTGAAATGACTCAGGAGCACCTTATTCTTATGGGTTTAAAAACACCATGTTGTGTTATTGCAGCCCATCACATGATGTAACTCAGGTGAAAAACAGTCTATAGACACGACACAACAGTGCAATCTGAAAACACGGTTCCTAAACCCCAATTCATGTTTTGTAATTGCTTTCCTTACATATTTGCTTTCTCCGAAGTTTCCTTCACTTGGAGCGAGTCCTGTGGTGCTGACCTCAATGTTTTAGTCACAAAAATCCAAGAGACACTAATATAGTTTCACTGTTCAAGCAAAAATAAAGGCAAAAGCAAAGGCAATGCTAAATGGTAGATGAGAACAACGAAGCACAAGGCTGAATAGGACTCAGCATCTTTGTTCCAAAAGGTGCCTCGTGTGGTGCCCACACTAACTATTACAGTTTGCACAATTACCAGAAGTGTGATACCAGATTAATTGTGCCCATTGTACTGAGGAAACTGCACTCAAAGTTGGCAACATTTCAGATTCCAACAGACAAACCTATATGATCCAATATTACTAGAATACAATAGAAGCTGTTTTCGGGTACTGAGGTATTCCAGTCCTCTGCCTAGATTATTTCAAGGTCATCACATCTTTAAAAATGAACTTACTTGAGTTATAGGTTTATTGATTAGGATCTTGCAAAGGGAAAAACAACTTCATTGAGAGCTAAGAAATCTCAAACTTGTATTTTCTGGTTCAAGCTGCAGTGATAACCATAACGGTAACGTAATGTTAAGTCTTGTGTGTAAAATGTTTTATTATTTGTATATAATTTGTACTATTTGGAATTGAGAGCAAACTACTGAGAAGACAAGACATTCATATCATTATACACCCAATTCAAGAATTCCCATGTTTTTTTCCCCACAACCATATATAGCATTTTTTTTTACTTTATGTTTTTCCATTACTAGATTTTATCATCTTAACAGTAGATGACAACAATTATTTGGGTTTAACACCAGTTCAAAGAGAGGGACAGTATAATATCCCTCAGCATCAGCTGAAAAGCATCTGGCCACGTACTCACTAACAGCCTCCTCATCCAGTGAGGAACATTTACTACTGTACATCTGGAGAGCGACTCTTCATTAGCGACTGTAGCAACAGGACAAGGGGTAATGGGTTTAAACTTAAACAGGGGAAGTTTAGATCAGATCTAAGGAAGAAGTTCTTCACAGTGAGGGTGATGAGGCACTGGAATGGGTTGCCCAAGGAAGTGCCTTGTGCTCCATCCCTGGAGGAGTTCAAGGCCAGGCTGGACAGAGCCTTGGGTGATGTAGTTTAGTGTGTGGTGTCCCTGCTTATGGCAGGGGGGTTGGAACTAGATGATCTTAAGGTCCTTTGCAACCCAAACCATTCTGTGATTCTATGATCTTTGAACCTTAGGTTTCTTCCTTCTACTAGTATTTGGGCTTCACTCTTGATTACCAGGATGCAGAAACTTAGAACAAGAGAAAAGATTCTGAACTGCCTTCCAAGTTCACTTTGCCTGTAAACATGCATTTGACATTTTCTCACTGTTATTTCACATATCGCTGCACTGATATTCCACATAAAAAGGAGGTCTGGTTTAATTATCAGGGTTCAGCTTCCATCACGTCTGCTGTGGCAACTGTATTAAACTTCAGTTTAATAGATACAAGAGCAGAAACAATGAGAACAACTTCCATCTTTTTGTTTTTTATTTAACCACGTAAGTACATGTCAACAGTTGGCATAAACTTCATAAAAATACAGTTCCTTTTTGTGCTGTAACACTAAGTCACACTGTTCATATAAAGATTTCCCCCCCACCACCCCGCTTCCTTGGAGTCAATTAACATTTTAAAAAGTGACTTCCCAAAAGCCCTTTTTGTGATAGTTTCCTTATAGAAATGTTTCCAAAATCTATTCTGTAAAAGTTAAAAAGCGAATGCATTTTCAGCCATTCTCCCTCACCCTCTCAATAAAACAGATCTCTAAAAAAATAAGAAGTCTTAGAATACTCATCAGTTGTTACACTACTACTTTATCACAGGATCCCATTTAATTGATACTGATACAGGCGTGACGGATGCTGTTCCTATAGCATCTAATATTGCTAGATGCTAGTAGGGCTAAAAAGATCAGTCATACCAATAGACTGATGTCTGAACGCAAGAAAGATGAGAGAAAACAAACCCAAAACATGAATGATACGCAGAGAAACACTTGACTTTAGAAGTAGAATCACACTTACTGTGATACTTCCCAATGGCCATAAACACACACAAATTCTATCAAGTCAGTTAAAGGACTGGGTACCCCAGAAAGTGAATCCTCTATTACCTAGAACATTGGTGCGACACCAAGATGACAGGAAAACGGCACAACCAGTCTAATAGAGTTGGAGCAATTATACCCACACAACTGACTACACCCATACCACAAACTGGGTTAAATTTCATTCCTCTTTAATGCTGATGATAAAACCCGGGTAGGAACTAATACATGGGGAAAGAAAACAGGGCATGAATTTTGAAGGTAATTTCTTATCAAGTTAGGCGCTGAAGGTCTAGTTAAGGCAGTGAAGGATTTATTTTAGAATCTTTCTAAGGCTATGACAGATTTTTCCTGAATAAAGCATTTTCCCTTAAAAATGTCATGTATATTATGCCAGCTTATTCTGAACGCAGAAGAATGCTAAAAATCCTTGGACACTGAGAAGCTAAACTATTGCTCACTGCAAATATTACCCTTATTAGTCACCTTTTTTAATATCAGTAAGATTCCAAGAACATGCACCTAAATAATGAAGTTTCAAGTCTGCCTACAAACTTTTCTCCATTTCAAAAGCAAGCTTAAAAGCATTTGTTAAGTGATCCAAAATGACCAATGTTCTTAATCCTCTCAAAGAAAACATGTATTTCTCTCAGACATGCCTGGTGAAACTACGTGACTTTTAAAGAGAATTTCTAGTATCACCTTGTCCAGAAAGGAGACGGGTAATGCAAGTGACATGAGAAATGTGATGCCAGATGCTATAGCACCATTCCCTTGTTCCTAGCTGCTAGCACCAAAGCTTTAAACAAACCTGCTTTGCCAAGACATTCTGACAGTCCCACTTCACAATAGCATTGGTTTTGAGAATGGAGTTACTTTCCATAGCTACTTTTAACTCTTTTTGGATCAGTGTTAAATAAAATGTGCAAACATATAATCATTTGCATAGCAAATTTCAAGGGACTGACCCTGAAATAGAAATCCAAACTGTTAGGTTTAAGATATTTCTATAATCAGAATTCACTTAAAATGGTAAAAAAGAAAATACACGTTTTTCCATTTTAAGTCTAGTAGAAAAGGTCTTTCTGATTTAGAATTCTTATAGTTACTACTTTAAAAAGCTGAAAGACTGGTGGTTCTTCGCACTGAAATGTTATTCCTTTGAAATCTTTAAGACTCTGTAGTTGCTGTTTTCAAATACTGTGAAGAAATATGGCCTGGAATCCTTGCTCATAAGGGTACATAAAGGAACTCTGCCGCTATTGGCAGGATCTTCGACATCCCAAATTTCAGGCATACTGCAGCCAGGCCTGGAAAACACATGAATAATTAAAATGAAGAAATGCCATCAAAAAACATACAGGTTGAAAAGAAAAAGCCCACTTTTGTGGTGATATAATTATTAAGAATTAATTTGGAGGAGGAAACTCATAAACCAACTCAAATTATACAATACACATTACCAGGGACCCCTAAAACCTCCTTTAAAATGTAGGGTGATGTTCACACTCCTAGTGTTTCTAAACAAAACTCAGGAAATAAAACCACCTTAAAAAAGAAAGTAGTGACTCTTTGCTTTTAACCAACATCAATTCCCTGTAGAGTTACCTAAAAATCTCCTAATTTTGTCAAAGATAAGAGCAAAGAAATAGATCAGATTCTAAATGCAAAGAAAATAAAATCAAAAATCTAACATAATCGTGTTCTAAAGGACAAAAAGAGAAACGTGGGTTGGGGAGGAACAGAGCTTTTTCTTAAGGACAGCTTAAATGTGACAAAATTTGCAGTGACAAGCAATGGTCATAGTATTTCAGTGCTGAATCTGTCTTTCACTCTGCACCTTTTATTCATACGAGGCTTTCATTATACACACACATCTGTTCTTGCTGCCAGAATAATGACTTGTTTCCTTTGTGAATCTCTTCTGTGTCTTACACTGAAGTTTACAACTACACACAACATGGCTTTCAGCTGCCCACAAAGACCACAGGGTTGCTAATGTGGTTAAAGTTAATTATACTTATTAATATCTGGAGACACTGGACAAAAAATGTGTTTTGGGCACTATAGTAAAGCACAGATCAAGACTGCAAAGCTACCACGCATCTTGGACTATGTATTTGAGCAGCACATCAAGTCTTGTTAGAGAGACATGACTCACTTTTTTCTGCTTACACACAATGACTCTTCCAGAATGTAGTAATTTGCTCCTAGTTTTATCAATTCTCTTTTTACATCTTTCGCAGGTTTTCGACTGTACATGGAATACACTACTTTAGTTCTGGCCCTTCAAAAAGAGAAATACACAAGTTAGCTAGCAACATAGCATGCAAACATAAGCTCTGACTTTAGGCTGGACGGGAAGGCTTTTTATTTCACAAGACATCCAGGCTAAAATGAATTTTACATTAATAGTGCCATTTGCTTTAATGTGATCATCTCTTCACAAATACAATGATCTCAAGAACAGCCCTTTGATCTTTTTTCTGTAGCAGAAGACAACTTTGCAACAAGATCCATAGTTACTGTGAACAGAAAATGTAAACATGTTAAAGGAATGCATTCCCCATATAATATTCAAGGCTAGGAATGACCTTGCTTGGACTGGAAGTGATTGGAAGAAATCATTTGCCCAGACTCTCCATGAAAAGTCACATTCATCACCCTTGTCTGGACTTTTTAAATGCAGAGTGCAAGCCCTGGTGTCTGCCTATAATGAATCAAGCAAAATCATCACTTGTAAACCATGACCCTGTTTATATTACCCAGCTATAACCTCCTTTGATTGTGCAAAGCACGACATTGTTAGCTCCTGCTCATTTTCTTATACTATCTCATCTCTAGTTTATTTTCCCCAAACATGCCCTGTCCTGCATTTCTGTCATAAAATACTTCAGTTGGAAGGGACCTACAGGGATCATCTAGTCCAACTGTTCAGAGCTGACCAAAAGTTAAACTCAGTTAATGCCAGAGACAGAACTAAGGACATAAAGCATATAAAATCAATCCTCTCCTTTATGCCTCTCTATCTTGTTTTCTTATTGTATTTTTGGGTTTGGTTTTGTTTGCTGTTTCTTTTAACCAATTTTATGAAATTACCAAAAAATAATGCTATGATAAAAAAGTATTTAACCAAAGAAATCGATGAGCTTTTCATACAAATCCATTTCAATTTAGAAAAATTCTGATTCTGAAAACAAAGTACAAAACTCAGTAATTCCATTACAAAATTTCAGTTTCATCTAGTCTTAATACTTCAGTAAGTACATACATTATCAGAAAAAAATTGACAACTAAGCAGAGAAAGCTGGAAGGAATAATTCAACTATCTTGAGAAAAAAATCAAGTCTGTCTGCAATGTCAGGAGTAACTAGAATGGAGAAAGGATGGAACAGTACACATCAATTCCAATTCCTTAATTATATCCTGATTTTTTTTGCCTATAAGTTGGAAGCCACATCTATCCTACAGTATATCCCTTCTGATGAACACAAATCCTGAAGAAATACTGTAGGTTTTTTTCAATCTGACTAAAATAAATCAAATTCTATGGGGTTTGAAGAAATCTTACAATATAACATGAAAACATTCCTTCTGTATATCAAAATTAAGAGCAAACAAAAATAAATCCTCAACTTCAAAATTTACCTTAATCCTGCATCTTCATAGTGCGGATGATTTACAATAGGACGAAGTGTAGACAATTTAACACTTGCCATGGTGGGCATTGCTCCAGCAAAAACTGCATCTGAAATACAGAATGAAAGGCATGTTTGAAACAAAGACTCAAGCAGTAAAAGCAGAGAAGCAACCTTCAAATATCTAAACAGTAATCCCATAGCAAAAACAATCCATAAAGAGGGTAGAGTACTCATTAGATAACTAAACATCTAAGAACAGAGATTTAATTCATCTTATTTTTCTTGAATGGGTAGAGTTACATATACATTATGATAGTAAATGGGGAATACCATACATTATTAGTTTACCTTGTCTGGTATTAACTTTTATCCACTCTAAAAGTTCTTCCTGTGGCAAATTGCTAAATTCTCCCATGATGTTCCACTGAGTTTGAAGGTTTGCTGATCCCTCTATTGCCATCAATGCTAAAATAGCAAAGACCAACGTTTTGGGCTGGATTTTACAGAAGAGCCATCCAAACAACTGAAATGCAAGAACCAATTAATTCTAGACAATTCTGTAATGCTTTATGTAGCACAACTCATTTCTATCTCTTTATAAGAAACCTAACATACATTACAATATGAAACATCTCTGCTATTGCTTCTCCACTCAACTTCAGCAAGACCTCATAAGTATTTATATTTACTGAGTGTAGGGCATCGTATTTGTAATTCTAAAGACCAAAAAGACAATGTAGCTTTTAAAGTTGTAGTTTATATGTCAAATTCTGCAAGTAAAGATGATTCAATACTGCTAACTGCACTTTTACAGTTTTTATCTCCTATTTACATCAAGAGTTCCTAGCTGTAGTATATGGGTTAGAGATTGCACTGCAAATTTCCCAAAACATATCAGAAAAGCAGACTTTGGGGATATAAGGTTAATGTTGCTTTATATCCTACTTTTCTATTTCTTGAACTGAAAAAGGTATCCCTTGCTTTCTTTGCTAAAGATAGTTTGCTGGAGGCTCTAAGCAAATACTCATAAATATGTGAAATGAGTAGTTAATTACAAAGACAGTAAGCTGTAAAGAGCTGTGAAAACACAGTGTAAACAGTCAAACACTGTTTGCATAAAATTAATAGTCAATAAAAAACTTGCAATGGTATAGAAGTGTAAATACAGTATAATCAAGTGAATATCTCCCTATGCACAAGATCAGTAGACAGCATATTAACCCCTATAATAATGTAACTGGACAAATTGCATAAACCATGACATTTGCTTTGTGTGGGGAGAGGGGCAAACAAAACTTGTGTAACCCTATTTTTGAACAAGCAATAGAATCTGGTTTATTTCTAACTGGTATTTCTAACTCAGATTCAGCAACGACACACACAGAAATCTGCTTTCAGACACGTATCATGGTAGTATCCTAAGTAGTGAGATAGCTGTAGGATTAAAAAAAGACCTTACCTGTTTTGAACACACCAAGGAAGCCATAACACACAGATGTGGTGTCAAAAACAGTTTTAGTCTCATGATTAAAATCGCTAGGACACTGTATGCCAACAGCTGCAGTGCATGGTACACCAGCTGCAAAAAAACCCCAACAAACACACAGAAACAGAGTATTTGCATACTTTTCATTTGTGTAAGGACAAACATTAACAAGAAACCCAAAAGGAGCTGAAGAAATGGCTAGCTATGCAAAAGAGCCTAAAACATAAACAGGCAATAACATATGTAACATTTCTTGTATAACCTCTTTATAGAAGCAAAGAGACCTTGCTATTTAATACCGAAAATACCTAAGTATGGAATGAAAGAAGCAAATAAAATCATCCTTGGTACTCACACAATCACAGGTAGCTGTCTTTAGTATTTTCAGAAAAGGTTAAACAGCACCAGAGATGTCACTTACCACTTTTAACAGTGAATCTATGTTACTTGTGGAAGTGCTGTGGTAAATCAGAGATAAAAGCACTGATTGCAAAAATGGCTCTGATTATCACATTTTGAATGGCATGAGACTTCTCCCATAGCACAAACCACAAATAAACTGCTGCTAAGAACATTTTACATTGTCCTCACTCACTTAATTGCAAATAAAGAAACCACATAAGAGATCTACCATTCAATTATATTTCACAGAATCCTACAACGGTTTGGGTTGGAAGGGACCATAAAGCTCCTCCAGTTCCAACCCCCTGCCACAGGCAGGGACACCTTCCACTAGAGCAGGTTGCTCCAAGCCCCTGTGTCCAACCTGGCCTTGAACACTGCCAGGGATGGGGCAGCCACAGCTTCTCTGGACACCCTGTGCCGATGTTTCACTACCCTCTGATAGTTTAAAACCATTATGCTTTGTTCTATCACAACAGGTCCTGCTATAAAGTCTATCCCCATCTTTCTTATGAGCCCACTTTAAGTACTGAAAGATAGCAGTAAGTTCTCCCCCTCTTCCCCAGGTTAAGTCATTCTGGTGACACACCAGACCCAGAGGGTATAAAAGATGCTAATAACTTAGCTTCAAATAAACCACGTATCAGCATCAGACTATTGCAACCTGTATTTCAATACTGGAGTATCTGCATTAACACACAAATGAAATTGTGTAGAAAGAGAATCTTACCTCACCCTGGTTAAAACGTTCCTCTCTGAATGAAAAACAGAAAATCACATTATTTATGTACTACAGAAGCCCTGGTTTTACTTTGAAGTCATCTATAGTGGCTCTAGACGACTAAACTAATCCGTTAAGCATGAGTCAGTGCCTGCACAGATTATTGTTTTTCCCCTCTATCACAAGCTTTGAAATTTATTGCAAATCAGTAACTATCCTCCTCAATCCCTATACCTATTTGGAAAACTGAAATTAATTTTAGCAGCTTTTTCATTACTTCCATTCATTATTTCATCTACAGAACAACTTATTTAGAAAATTAAATCTCAGCAGCATAAAAGAGGCAGAGTGCTGGTAGCAAAAGAGTCGTCACTTGTTTACCCAGGTATTATATAGATTGATTTTGGATTCTCAGAAGGAAATACAAATGTGAAGCGTCAAAATCAAGCATATTTGTTGTTCTTCAAAAACCTGTGTGAAGACAGGATGCTGCATCCTGCTCTCTATCTGTGGAAATTTTGGTAACTGTCTTTAGACTATGGAAAGCAAAGATCACCGAAATGGTCAGTGATGTGTCAGGGAAATGACAACATTCAGTCAGACAAACTGATTGCTCTTGAGCACAGCATCAATAAATGATGCCAAACGGCTGTGACAGGTAGAGCATGTATTACAGATAGTTAGAAAATAAAACTGATCCAGTTGGGATCCCTTCCTAAAGATGAAACTCAGGTATCCTTATAACCTGGGAAAAAAAATAATTAATGGGGCAGAAAGATTTTTTATTCACTATTTATAGGAGAAAAGCAAATAGGCACATAAATAATTACTGATTTAGGAACAGAGAAGAAAAATAAAGTATTAAATAGAAAATTTGGGGATAAGAGGGTTAAGATGTTTAAAACTAAGTAAGTTAAGCAGCTAAACTTACTTTTAGGCATCCTATAAAAGATACTACACAGAGTATGCCCAAGCCATTCAGTGACTGAACTATACATAATTACCTTTCGAAAAGGACCAACATAATGTGGAATTCTGAATTATTTATTGGATAGTGACTCAAACTTCCAGCAGTTAATTCAGTTTTACATTGAAAAAGAAGACAATATTTACCTTTCACATTGGCCCGCCTGAGATAAGGACCACGTAAGATATTTAATTGCCTGAAGAAAACAAAGAGCCAACAGAAAGTATGAATAAACTTTCAAAAGCATTCTCAAGCTTTTGAAGCATTTTCAACATTTGCTACATTAAATTACACCTGAGTAATCTCATTTGGAAGATAATGGTGAGATAAAAGGCATGCAATGTTTTAGCTAAAACTTCTTTTTGAGGCTGTTTAATTAGCCAGGCGGTTAGCTGTTATCCCATCTGTTCCTGTATAAACTGTAAGCTGTTTTTACACAGATTATACATAATCAAATTTACAAAAACAGTTATAAACTTCAGTTATAGCACTCATCAGCTTAAGTGACAAAATCCTGGGGGGCACTTAACATCAAAGCAGGTTCTACCACTGACTCAGGCCTGAACCTCTGTGAAAGTCTATGTAAAGAGAATACAGAATTTTAAGGAGGCATTTTTGAAACCCTGTATTTTATCTAATTGTATTGGGTTTACATGGCAAGGTTTTGGCAGCGGGGGGGCTGCAGGGGCAGTTTCTGTGTGTCTGCCCCCATGTGAGAGCCAGCTACAAAACAGATCTACCAATGGCCAAAGCTGAGCTCATCAGTAACACTGGTGGCCTCTCTGCTGATAACACATTTAAGAAAAGATGAAAAACATTGTGCAGCAGCTTTAAGAGACAGAAGTGGGAAAAATGGGAGAGAATCATCCCTGAAGACACCAAGGTCAATGAAGGAGGTCCAGGAGCTGGAGCAGCTGCATGTTTTGGAGACCACAGTGATGTAGGTTTTCCCCCTACAGCCCATGGAGGACCATGGCGGAGCAGACAACCACCCACAGCCTGTGAAGGACCCCATGTCAGAGCAGGTGGACATGCCCTGAAGGAAGCTGAAACCCATGGAGAGCCCACAGAGGAGCCAGCTCCTGGAATGAATTGCAGCTCCTGGCAGGAATTGCAGCTCGTGGAGAGGAGCCCATGCAGGAGCAGGTTTTCTGGCAGGAGCTACAACTTGCAAGAGACCCACACCGGAGCAGTCTGTTCCTGAAAAACTTGTACCCTGTGGAAAGCATCCTTGCTAGAGCAGTTCTTCAAAGACTTGCCCATGGAAGGGACCCACTGAGCTGGGGAAGAAGGGGGTAGGGATGCAGGGAAGAGGGTTTTAGGTTTGTTTTTGTTTTGCACAATCCTAATCTATTTTTAACTGACAATATATTAGATTCATTATCCCCAACTCAAGTCTGTCTTGCTCATGCCATTAAACCAGTGGGTGATCTCCCTGTCCTTACACTGACCCATGAGATTTTTCAACTCTTTTTTTTCCCCTGAGGATGGGCAGTAAGAGCATGGCTTGGAAGGCACCTGGCCACCACATTAACTTCTTCCCATCCCAAAATATATAATGACCCCTTAGAAAAAAATACATCAGAAAAGTATATTCAAGGTAAAGATGATTCATTAAATCAATCACTTACCCTTTTGATGATTACCCCCAAAACCACCAGAACAACTGGCAATAGCAGAGTCTTTGTGTATCTTATTGGAGTCTACAATGGAAATAAGCTGCTTTAATTGCTTTCCATTAACCTATAATTACTTGGTCATTTTAAAGAAAGCCATATAGGATTCTTCCTTGAGTAACATGTAAAATTAAATATTCAGCAAGAACAAAGCAAGCCTAAAGAAATTCAGATTTAAACTCCACCCAGCAATCACACCAGAGGTCATAATACTAAAGACACTAAGGTCATTAGCACATTATTCCCAGTTCTTTGGCAAGCCACCCAAAGACTGAAAAGTATTTGTATCTCATCTGAATTTGAGTGCTATGTGTTGACATTTAGACTGCTTATAAGTTACTCATATCTAGATACTGATGAACTAAGTTCATCACATAAAGAAACTAGGATGCTTTTCTGTAATCTAAATCTATCACACAAGATCTTTGCAGCTCTCAGTTCATTTCCCATCTACTCAAAACCACTTACCAACAGCCACATAAAATCTGAAGTAACCTTTCACTTATCCCTGAGCAAGCACTTCTTTCATTCAAACAAGCACACTGCTTAGCTCCAAACTCAAAACTCTGTTTTGGTTTTAGTTCATTTAAAAGAAATCAAACCAGTTAGATTTAGCTTAAGTCCATTAGTGTCTCTAATTTCATAACTAAGTACTTGAACTTATGATGGCAGTAGGAGGTTATGGCTCTCAGACGTTTTAAGTTATGACTTTAGATAGAACAGGAAGTTCCCTCTTCCATAATCATCTATTTTGATCAAATTACCTCTTTTTCCATGAAGTCAAACTCTGCAGCACAAGTATACATTAATGTATCGAAATCCTTGTAGCCAATAAACTTAGATTTTAATATGTTTCCTATATGAGCCTGGTAGGATATACAGGGGGGGAAAAAAGAAAGAAATAAAGATGTAGTAAGCAAAACCTGACCTGTTTTCCACAATGAAGTAGTTTAAATATATATTTTTATATATT